TTGGTAATTTAAAATCAAAACTCTTAGCAACATCAGAAGCCAGCCCAGAACCCCTTCTAACAACAGAAGCCATCAACAACAATGCAGCATGCTTCCCTTTGCCTTCTTTATTGTTCAACTCCTTATAAACATCTCCCAATTTTTCTTCAAGAATCAAACGAGCAAATTTATCTAAAGCCCGACTGAGTGGAATCCTGGCCACATCATTGGGTTTGAAAACACCATCTTTATGACTCAAAATAACGTTAATTAGCGACATTATATAAGACAAACCAGGCTTCGATTGTCGTAAATTCCATGCTTGTAGAAGCTCTGAACAATTGGGAGATGTCTGTACATACTGTCTTAACATTTCGCCTCCTTCATCGCCTCTAAGTAACTTCATAAACTCTTTTGACGCTTCTGAGCATAACTGAAGATCAATTGAGGTGAGGTTACGTAATAACTCTCTTAATTTAGCTTCGTGAGACACTTTGATTACAAAAGTAGGAACTTTTTGGCTCTCCGGATTCATAGCATCGTCCATCTGCAAGAACATATAAAACAACGAGCAAAACTTGTGAGTTCGGTGTTCTGCGCATGAACCGTAACGGAGGTGTCTAGCCTTCTCCTGCTGCTTCGGTGGCTGCACGATGACTAATTAGGAGGGCGTTGGGGTGCAGAAGAAAACCGGTCGATTGAGCCTTGAGGAAGAGCAGTCGTGGCGGCGATAGGCGAGAGAGAACCTCGGAGGTTTATGAAGGGTATAGTGGGAACATAGACGAGACTGAAGACCTCCTAGCGTATGCTTTAGAGCGTTGTACCGTACAATTTTAATTGAAAGAATAAATATGGTAAGCGGCCGGGTTAACTTTAACGGGTTGGGTTTTGTGGACTCAATCAGACTTCAGCAAGCTTAATTTAACAAGACAAAACAAGTCACTCATGGGCTCATGGCATGCTGCATCTCCTCACATAACACTCCAAAAAAGCTGTTAATGACCATAAATGATACTCTTTTCTACCTAAATTATAGTTTTTTTTTTTTATTTTTTGGTTTATCTCAAAATAATAGTTCACTTCTAAAAATAAATAACATTTTTACTAAAATACTCCTTATTATTACTTAACCAAATAAACATTTAATGAAACATTAAATGCAAAGTAAGGATAAAACTGTTATTTTATTATATAAAGTTAGTGGTAATTAATGTTTTTCTTAATCTGTGTGTTTTTTGTCTGTGAACAATAATATTGGGACGGAGGGAGTACAACTTTAGGTTAAATTCATTAACAACATTTAGTTATATATTATTACTTTTTTTTTCAATTACAACATTATAATTTTAATATATTTACTTATTACAACTTTATACTTTATAAAATCTATTAAATTTAACAAGACATAACATCTATTTTCTTTTTGCTAGTTTGATCTTTAAACGAGGTTGTGTTTTTGGCTGACTCGGTCAGCAAAAGTTGTCTGTTAAACAAATTTTGGATGTCTGATTCGGTACGTAATATCTAAGCGGAAAAGATGAGGGAAATCGTCTGACTGAGAAATAGAGTGATGTTTCTAAAAGTGCCCTTGCTCTACGTTCCAATTTCCAGCGTCTTCTTCCCCGTTTATTCTCTCTTTTAGTGTCGATTTTCTTTACCTGCAACAACAAGCAAAACTTGTGGGTTGGTGTTCTGCCTTCTCGAACGAGCCATAATAGAGTGAAATCAGAAGATGATGGGCATGAGAAGGATACGCACATGAACCGTAACAGAGGTGCCTAGCCTTCTCCTGCTACTTCAGTGGTTACACGATGAGTAATTAGGAGGAGATGGAGGATGGATGAAGGTGAGATAACGACTAAGATTAATTTTGGTGGGACTGACTATTTAGGTTTATGGTAACATGAACATCCAACAACTAATTTTTCTATGGGTTGGGCTTTTAGTTCGTAAGGGCGTTCCTTTTTATTAATTTTATATTGAAAATTAAATATACAATATAAATCAACATTCATATAATACAAATACTTAATTAAATATACAATATAAATCCACATTTCTAGAATTACATATTAAAGTTTAATTATATATTACAGTTTAATCATATATATATATATATATATATATATATATATATATATATATATATATATATATATATAAAGCAGCAGAGTAAAATAGTCATTTTTCATCAGTCAACACATTCAAACAGATGGACAATCAAACAATATGGTTTCTTACTCAGTCAACATTTCTTACACAGACAGATTTTTCCCAATCATCACTTTCTCAATCAGCAACTGTCAAACTAGACCTAACTTCAACATCAGGGCTACAGTTGTTAATGGGAAAAGGCAAGATGAACTCCAAACTTCTCCACTTTGGCATCTCTATGTTCTTCCAACTCAAATGAAACTTCAATATTGTCTCCACTTTTAATCATCGACCCTAGAATCATGCACGACTCTACTGATTGTCTCCCCCTAATTTCACAATCCCATTTAACACCACTTGTTTTATTGTCAACCCTAACGCCAATGTGAAAGAACTTATCACCATCGTCTCCAAAAAAGTAAGCAACCAAAATCATCAAATGTAAGGAACCATCTTCAACACCAGAAGGTGTATCTGTGTCAGTATCGATCAACATTGATGATTCCCCTACTCCCTGAAACTCAAACTAATCTGGAATCCCCCTCCTTGAAATATAAAACTTATTAACACATAGACCTCGACCATATCCCTGAAGAAAGAAGTTGTCCATCACCATTGACAAACTACTACATCCATCCAGGTAAATTTCTTGTAAAGATGAAAGATTTTCCAACCCCATGATTTCAACCAACTTGCTGCAATACTTCAAATCTACAACCCTTAAAACTTCAAGACCTAATACATCTGGGAGCTTTAACAATGATTTACAACCACCAACATATAACATCTGAAGATTGTACAGTTGACCAAGTCCAGAAGGCAAGCTAGAAAAACTATTGTTTGACAAGTCTAACACCATTAGCCCTGATAAATCCCACAAAACATCAGATTCATAGCATCGTCATTTTCCATAGTTGCAAGAACATATAAAACAAAACACCAAACAACGTGTAAGTCAAATTACACACAAAAAAAAAAAAAAAAAAAAAAACTAGCAAAGACGGTACATAAATAGACAAATACACATTCATGTTACCTCTACCAAGAACTCTTCGATTGAGGGCGTTGGGGTGTAGAAGAAAACTGGTCGATTGAGCCTTGAGGAAGAGCAGTCGTGGCGGCGATAGGCGAGAGAGAACCTCAGAGATTTATGAAGGGTATAGCGGGAACATAGACAAGACTGAAGACCTCCTACCGTATGCTTTAGAGCGTTGTACCGTACAATTTTAATTGAAAGAATAAATATGGTAAGTAGTCGGGTTAACGTTAACGGGTTGGGTTTTGTGGACTCAATCATTCAGGCTTTAGCAAGCTTAATTTAACAAGACAACAAGTCACGCATGTGCTCATGGCATGCTGCATCTCGTGACATAATGCTCCAAAAAAGTTGTATTTTTTAATGGCTGTAAATAATAATAATCTAATCCAAAATTTGATACTCATTTAACAAATAAATTTCAAAAACGTTTACATGCCATTGTTATGTCATCGTCAAACAAATAAACATTTTACAATTGATCTGATTTCATATAATAATTAAAATAATATATAAAGTTTGAGGTGTTACAAATGATATTACAATGAATAATAAGCTTTCGAAGAGAGGTGTCAAGCCTCACCAAATAATCATTTACTAGCTAATTCACTAGCCGGAACATAGGCAGTTTTATGGAGATATTATTATTACATGGGAATGGGATGGTAAAAGCAAAAACCGGTTGCTTTGCTTTTCAGTTTCACACAAACAAATGAAAATGAATGAAACTCAAAAAAATGAACTTTTCTACTCCTGGTATACTACATGTATAACCTAATATAACTAACTATATCTCACTAATACAACATTCATTTCATATCTCTCTTATATGTTGCAAAGCAAATATGAAACATTGAGATTTGAGAGTTGAGTGTTTGTCTGTTTGTTAGGTCTTAATTAATTCTTATGAACAATGAGCATGCCAAAGAAGGCGGAAATACGGCTAAGAACACCAATCATGATAAGAATGAATATACAAAGACCCCAATCATGTACATTGTATCCGAATTTTAAAAGTGCCCCACAACGCGTTATCAGCCACACCCCAGAATACCTGTTTCAAACCAAAGCTCAATTTTCAAACCAAAACGCCTTATTTTATTCAACATAATAATATTTTAAAGGGTAAATTACTGAAATCGTTCCTAATGTTTGATCAAAATTTCAAGTTTGGTCCCTAAATTTTCTTTTGCACTCGGATCGTTCATATGGTTTGATTTTGTTGCGTTTTTCGTCCCTTACATACATAAAATTAAGGACCAAACGTGCAATTTTGACCAAACCATAGTGACGAAAAACGCAACGAAATCAAACCACATGGATAACCTTTTACAAAAAAAAAAAAAAAAAAGAAAGAAAGAAAGAACGCAAAAAAATAGTAAAATCATAGGTTTCGTATGAAGCCTATAGTTTTATTTCTTTTTTTTTTCATTTTTTTAAACTTGTTGAAAGCTCGTTAAGCCATCATATATATGTTATGATTTCATGATTTTTTTTCAAAAAAAAATAATAAATAAATAAATAACAGAACCTTAGGTTTTTTGGTGGCTAAGAGGAAGCCTTAGGTTTCCAAAAAACTACAGTTTTACAAGTTCAAAATGAATTTTTTTATACTTATCACGAAAGAGTTGACTATTTTATGAAACATTAGCCCACTCTAATTACCTATGGTTTTGTGGATTATTTTGGAATAATTCCTAACTTTTTGCTAAAAATGATTAATTACTTCATTAATTAGGCTAAATTAGTAAATGTTTACAACTTTGTACTTTACAAAATCTATTCATTTATAAGACATAACATTCATTATCTTTTTGCTAGTTTGATCTCTTTAAACGACGGTAACTTCAACATCAGGGCTACAGTTGTTGATGGGCAAAGGCAATAGATGAACTCCAAACTTCTCCACCTTCACATCTTCTCTGTGCGCTTCCAACTCAAATGAAACTTCAATTATGTCTCCGCTTTTAATCATCGGTCCTAGAACCATGCACGACTCTACTGACTGCCTTCCAGTAATTTCACAATCCCATTTAACGCCACTTGTTTTGCTGTCAACCCTAACACCAATATGAAAGAACTTATCACCATCGTCTCCAAAAAAGTAATCAACCCAAATCATCAAATGCAAGGAACCATCTTCAACACTAGAAGGTGTATCTGTATCAGTATCAATCAACATTGATGATTTCCCCACTCCCTGAAACTCAAACCAATCTGGAATCCCCCTCCTTGAAACATAAAACTTACTATCACATAGACCTCGACCATATCCCTGAAGAAAGAAGTTGTCCATTACCATTGATAAACTACTACATCCGTCCAGGTAAATTTCTTGTAAAGATGAAAGATTCTCCAACCCCATAATTTCAACCAACTTGCTACAATACTTCAAATCTACAACCCTTAAAACTTCAAGACCTGATACATCTGGGAGCTTTAACAATGATTTACAACCACCAGCATATAACACCTGCAGATTGTAGAGTTGACTAAGTCCAGAAGGCAAGCTAGAAAAATTGTTGTTTGACAAGTCTAACACCATTAGCCCTGACAAATTCCACATATCATTTGGGAAATCGTTATCTGATAGATTACAATCTCTTAGTGCTAAAACTCGAATCAATGATAACCCTAGATTCCTGCCTGGAAGGCTTTCAAGAGTCTTGCAGTTGTTTAGCAACAAAGTATGTAGATAAGGTATTTGTTGAATAGAATCAGGTAATCTTTTTATGCTAGTTCCACTAACACCAATATCTTCTAAGCGTTCCAAATCTCCAAGTTCATCTGGTAATTCTTGTATATTTGAGCAATCAGTGAGACGTAGAATGTTGAGTGTCTTCATTTTGCATATACTGTTTGGAAGACTTTTGAGGGTAGAACAATCGGTTATAGACAGACTTATAAGCTCACACATGCCGATTGAATCAGGTAATTGTTGAATCCTAGTTCCACTAGCATTAATCTCTCTCAACCCTTTCCAATCACCTAATTGCTCTGGTAAACTTTCAAGACTTGAGCAGCCTTTAAGATGTAGAATAGCAATTGATCTCAAATTGCAAATGCTACTTGGAAGATTCTTGAGGTTTCTACACCCGTTCAAGTTCAAAGACTCGAGCTGAGTCAAATCCCCGATTGAGTGAGGTAACCGTTTGATCCCAACATGACTAGCATCAAGAGTCTTTAAGCTTTTTAGATTCCCAAATTCATGGGGAAGTCCTCTAAGTTTTACACACTTACCAAGTTTTAATTCTTCGAGTGACTTTATATTGCATATGCTGTTTGGAAGAACTTTGAGATTCTTGCACTCTTCCAGATCTAAGCTGACTAGCTTCTCCAAATTCCCGATTGAAGTATGAATACTGGATAATTTTTCACACCCTCCAAGTCTTAGTTCGGATAGATTTGGTACTCCATTGAAGTTAAGAGTTGTCTTGAGGGACTTTGATTCACGAAGATCAAGCATAGTTAAGTTACCAAGAAACTGTTGATCGAAATAAAAATAAAAAGAGAAGAAATTTTAGATGATGATGAAGAATAATGATGTGACACATAAAATTTGATTAAAGAAATAGACCTTTGTGTGGCGCCACAATACATGAAGATTACTTTTCTGCATATCGAGTGAAATAAGTTTTTCAGGATGGAAATCCATTGGTAAAGACTCCAATGGGAACCGATGCCAACAAAGCCATCTTAACTCTTTAAAAAGACCTCTAAAGCTTCCAACAAGATCTATGTTATTGATTTGAAGCAATCTTAAATTTGGCATTTTGGAAAAAGGTCTTGTACTAAAACGAGATTGTGTCGATAGGTCCAATATCATACCTTCAATCGCTTCGGTCACCTAATAAGAACATATAAAATAAATGCATTAAAAAACTTGCTACAAATAAAGATTTTAAGCTTGAAAATTCTCCTAGAAAATAATGATCATACCTCATTTTTTATCAACACGTTACATACATCATCTTGCAACCACAATCGGGTACGTTTTCCGGGCTCTTGAGGAAACTTCTCCCACACAACTTTTCTTCCCATATCTTGAACCAGATCATGCATTTTAACCCTATCATCCATGTCGACTTTCAGTAAACATCTGTCTACAAGGGTACTAATTCCAATTGCTCCAAAGAATCCACACCCATCAAATATCTTGATTGCAAATTCTTTTTCGGCTCCATTGAAAAAACATGCAATATCAAGAAATATATCCTTTTCCGTGTCATCCAGAGTGTCAAAACTTATCCTTAATCTTTCCAAAACATCGTCTGGAGCAAATTGCTTAAGTTCCTCAAGCATATTTTTCCATTCTTCCATGGTCTTGTTATATAAAGAAGATCCTAAGACCTCAAGAGCTAATGGAAGTCGTCCAGCATACTTTACAATGTCTTCCAGAATGTTCTTGAACGATTCTAATGGAATAGGGCTTTTAAAAGCATGCCAGTTAAACAACATCAAAGACTCTTCATTGTTCAATTCATTAATCTCGTATTTGTAATCAACTTTAGCCTGATCTAGAAGATGTTCATCTCTAGTTGTCATAATGATTAAACTTCCCTTACCAAACCACAAAGATTCTCCAATTAAAGAATCTATTTGGGTCAAGTGGTCTACATCATCAAGAACAACAAGAACTCTCCTACAACCTAATCTTTCTTTTATTAAATCAATCCCCTGGTCAACGCTTGTGACCCTATGATTCTTTCCTTTTAAAGCAGAAAGAAGTCGCTCTTGTAAACGAACTAGACCATCAAACTGTTTTGATTCTTGTCTAACATTTTCAAGAAAACAAGTATGTTCATAGTGAAGAATGGCTTCATTATAGAATTCTTTTGCTATGGTTGTTTTACCAATGCCACCCATACCATAGATCCCAACTACACCCACATCTTCTTGTCCGAATATAGCCACTAGGTTTTTTAGATACAAGAGACGTGAATGCAAACCAACTGGATGCTTTACAACAAACTTGTTACGTTTTAGTCTTTGCACAACCTTTATTACAATATCTTTAATGAATTCTTCGGCATACCTGCATATATATATATATATATATATATATATATATATATATATATATATATATATATATATATATATATATATATATATATATATATATAAACGATTTTATATTCTAGTAAAATCCTCTTGTGTAAAAAACGAAGAATGCATAGTGAATATGAGAGTGTTACCATCCATTGATGTCATCTTGTATATCCCATCCAGCTAGATTTCCAGCCTCGGTTAATGCGACTCGCCATTGTTTAATCTTTTCAGGATCAAAACAATCTTCATGTTCATGGTTTATAAAAGCAGCTTCAAAGCTCCCACTTTGTTTGCGTACATCACTAGGATCAACATGATGGAACACCGGAAGAACCAACTGTCCGATGCTTTTCTTGCAATCCATGATCTTCACTAACTTATCAAGACAAGACCTTGAAGAAGCATATTCTTTTGAAAAAATAACAATTGAAATGTTTGACCCCTCAATTGCCTCAAGATCGTTGACACTTGGTGGCAGTTGATCAAAGCCATCAGCTCTAAAAGTGTGTATATCGTCTCCAGCTAAAGTTGTGTATAGATGATCTGTAAATGTTTTTCCATGTCTATCTGGATCTTCATGTATGGAGTTGAGATACACGTCATACTTCCATTGAGGAGTTTGCCATGAAGATTTGGTGAATGTGAGGGTATACCGCTCATCGAAACTGCTTTCGGAATCCATGGAAATAAAAAGGAAATGTCAAGATCAAGATCAAGTTAAAAAAAGAACATTTATAAGCTCAGATTATTAGGCTAAGAAGATGAATATATTTAGGCAAAGAGCTTTGTAATCTACAACAGATTGAAGGTTTAGTGAAAGAGACAAGAACCCTTTGGAAATTACATTCGTGGGGTACGTGGCGGCTTAAATTTATGGTGAAACTCTTTTAAGCATTAGATTATAAGTGAGTCACCATCACTTCCATTAGTTTTTTAACATTAAACATTTGTTAAGCTAAAACTATATAAATCAGGGACGACATAATTCCATTTTTAGTGAAACGTAACATATACTGTTACTAAATTTTGGAATGAGAAATAAAGTAGGTTGAAAACTAGGGCAGGGTTTTATGATAGGTTCAAATTGAGGGTTTATGTATGGGATATACATAAGTGGACAGGGTTTTATTCCTGTAACGTAGCCAATTCTTCTTACCTAAAGTAAATAGATACAACATATATGTACTTTTTGAGGTTAATGCTATTAAATAATAATGTAATCCCAAATTTGATGCTCATTTACTAAAGATGATTTCAAAAACGTTTACATGCCATTGGTGTGTCATCGTCAAACAAATAAACAACATTTTACAATTGATATAAGAATTAAAATAATATATGAAGTTTGAGGTGTTACAAACAATGAATAATAAGCTTTGGAAGAAATAATCATTTAGTTTTTAGTTTTCAGTTTTCACACAAACAAATGAAAATGAATGAAACTCAAAAAATGAACTTTTCTACTCGTGGTATACTACAAGTATAACCTAATATAACTAACTAACTAACTATATCTCACTAATACAACATTCATTTGATACCTCTCTTATATGCTGCAAAGCAAACATGAAACATTGAGATTTGGGAGTTGAGTGTTTGTCTGTCTGTCAGATCTTAATTAATTCTTATGAACAATGAGCATGCCAAAGAAGGCGGAAATACGGCTAAGAACACCAATCATGATAAGAACGAATATACAAAGACCCCAATCATGTACATTGTATCCGAATCTTAAAAGTGCCCCACAACGCGTAATCAGCCACACCCCAGAATACCTGTTGGTTTCATGAAAGCTCAATTTTCAAACCAACGCCTTATTCTCTTCAATACAAATATAATATTTCAAAGCATCATTACCTGTTTGCATTCGCAATTACAAATGCTTCAAGGGCCCACTTAGGGTAGCACAGCTTTGACACATTCTTCAAGAAGTCACTATTTTCCGTCTGTGTCGACACAAGAGTCAAAACTACAGGAAGCAGCACCGCAAACTGCATATAACCCATAAAGACTTTTTTAAACTTTGTAAATTAAACGCTTATTTAATGAAAAATGGTTGGTAAGTAATTAATTAATAGGGTGGGGTTATGTTATTTTGATTTGTTACCCACCAGCTGTGATGGACCGGGATCAAGAAATATGGCCAACATGTAGGCAATGCCAGTGACACAGTACACAAGGCACAACAAAACCGTGTAGTTTTCTGCAAAAGAAGATCTCGGGTAGCTGAAGAAATAGAACATGGACAAATAAACCGCAGGTTTTATCACTGTACTGAAATGGTCAATTGTATCTTTAGCTAGAAAATGAGCCAGACTGCTAATCCCAGATGCACGCTCTCTCCAATATTGTAACTTATCCAATGAAAACGTTCTCAACGCCGCAACTTTACATAACAAAGCTGCAAAACCCCACACGCCACCATTTGTCAGTATCAGTATCAGTAACAGTAACAACAGTGACCAGTGATACTTACATACTGCAATAATGGAGTAAGTGTATCCAGGAGCCCCGAAAGTCTCTTCTTTTGATTTAATAATCGAACCCAAGCATGCTCCAGCAAGTAATAAGATTAAATAGTCTATTAATTGTAGCTTAGATTCCCGTAACCGCTGCTTAGCAACCCTTAAAAGTAAAAAACATTCATTCAAAATTATGTAAAAAAAAAAAAAAACTAATAAAGAAGAAGGATCAGATACCTTCCGAGAAAGTATCGATACTGCATGAAAATTCCAGGAGTAATGCGGTTTGACAAATCCTTAGTTGGCAAGAAATTATGGCGTAAAACGTCTCTTCTAACCTCCACATTTGTCTTTACATCCTGCCAAATCTCACCAGCAAAGGAATGTTCCTCTGTGGCACTTCCAGCATCATTATTACTATTAACTGAAGCTTCACCTTCTGGAAACATAGCAGAGTTTCTACGCATGTCAGGGGGTACAGGGTAACCCTTGTGAAGCATCCATCTAACTGGAAGCTGTTCATGGGTTACTACACCTGAACCCGTGCTTGGTTTCACCATTCCTTCTAGAACATCTATGAAATAATCTGGAGGATTAACACGATCTGGAACCTTGATCCCCATCCCTGAAAAGTATTCTTCAACTTTCCTTACTGGTCCATGGTAAACAGTGAGTCCGCCTTTTGCTAAAAGTATTAAGTCGTCAAACGTCTGGAACAAAGAGTAGCTGCAACAAAAGTACAAAACCAAACCATTTATTATTTTAATTCAAACTTTCAAAATTTAATTCACTACTATTTATTACTTTACCTTGGTTGGTGAACAACCATGCTAACATTCACCCCTTCAATAGTCTCCCTTCTGAGAGCTCTAAGAAGCAACTGAGAAGATGAACTATCTAAACCAGAAGTGGGTTCATCTAAAATCAAAACAGAAGGTTCCATTACCATTTCCAAACCAACATTTACTCTTTTCCTCTGTCCTCCAGAAATCCCACGCTTCTCTACAGTTCCAACCAAAGAGCTTCTCACTGCTTGCAAACCTAACGACTCTATAACTCTCTCAACAACCAAAACCCTATCTTGCTTCAGCATCTTTGCTGGCAACCTACAAACAAAAATAACAACATCAACATATATATATACGTACTTTTACTCTTTTACTCTTTTAGTTTCATACCTGCATTTTGCACTGAACCAGAGATTCTCCTCCACAGTCAGATTCCCATGGACAATGTCATCTTGTGGGACAAATCCAATGATTTTTTTATATGAATGGATTGAATCCGGTTTCCCATTTACAGAAATGGAACCGGTTATACTGCATCCATGTGCTTTTCCAGCTATTGCATTAAGAAAAGTTGTCTTCCCTGCCCCAGATGGGCCCATCACAGCTGTGATTCTTCCAGGCATGATTTTACCAGTCACACATCTCAACAGATGCTTCCCTTTCCCTTTTAAAGTTAGAGTAAGATCTTTGAAAGCAATCTCAATTTTAGGTCTTTTTCTCACCTCAGTGTTAACAGCCATTGAGATTACTCCAGAAAAAGTCAGGTTTTGATTCTCTTGCATGGCTTTCTCTTTCTCAATCTGACCATATGCATAGTTAAAGATTTGGCTATGGGTATGAATTTGTTTCTCCTTTTCTTTTTCTTTTTGCATTTTCTTTTTACCATTTGTAGCTTTACTCTCTGTGCTCCGGCTCAAACCTCCTTCATAACTGTAAAGATCCTTATCGACTACTTGTCTATCAAATGTTTGACTGCTTAGCTCCAATCTGTTCTCATTGGAAGAGGAATGGGACACATTTGAAGTGGTTTGATCATCATCGATTTCATCTCCACCATGATGTAATATGGAGAGTTCCTCGGTTTGTGGAGCAGCCTTTTTACGAGAAAATGTACGAGAGATTTGAGCTGCATGCTTCTTAGCAGCTTCTCTAGCCATTTTCCATCTTTCATGTGCCTTCACTTTCTCTTTTGCACGCCTTGAAGCTGCTTCTCTGGTTTTAGCATGCCTTCTCTCTCGGGTGCTAAGTATTTGGTCAGAGCAGTTGTAGATGATGAGCAGAATAGTAAATATTGCAGCCTAGTAGTAGATACATAAACAATAAATAAAACTTTACATGTTTATTTTTTACCATTTCATAAAATATAACTGTAATAAGCTTACTATAAGCATTGCCCCATATGCATGAATATTTTGGTGGGAACTGTTGCGATCACATGAAGTCAACTTGAAGCATGCTGAAAATAAAGACACTAAAGGTCAAATGCTCTTCCCCATTAAGTTCTAACTTTATACACATTTACTCATGATCTCAATATATATATAAACATCATTTATCCTAGTACAGCATCACCAAAGGGGAATAAAGAAAAAGAAAAAGGAGGGATTACGTTTTTCAGAGGTAGAGCCTGTTGAACAGTAATGCCTGAAATTGCAAGTGACATGGATATGAGCATTTGGCAAGAAAATGTTTTGGTTTTAGGGACATAAATGAATGAATACCCGCTGCTGCAAGGTATTTCTTGTGTAGTTGATGGACAATATGAGCCTGATGAACAGAACATCTCACTACTGCTGCGAATATCTGCCCATATATTTGCTCCACCACAAGTATGATTTGGCTGTCCAGGTGGCAGTTGGTAAGAATATCTGCATGTAAAAAGTAATAAAGTTTCTCTCAACCAAATGCCAACCAGTGCAACAAACATGAAGGAGCTTTTTTACACAAGGGACTCAAACTTACGGTGTACATATGCCACTAGCTCTATCAAGGGTTGCAGTTGGGCAATGTGAACCCAATGGGCAAGCTGTAATAAAAATAAAACAAGATTCATGAATTAGTAAAGATAGTGTCTTTGAATATTCAAGGGTTAGTGTTCCAAATAGCAATGATACTTACGAATCATGCAAGTAAGACCATTGGGGCAGAAGAAACCCTCACAACAAGGCTGACAGTTGAGAGTTCTAGCAGGAATATTCTGAGAATCTTCCATGTCAACATCATCGGTGGATGACGTGGCACATGCCCATCCTGGCTCGCAGCCAGAAATCATGGAGGTTAGATTACAGTTCCTGTTAGGCTTCATATAACTGCTACCTGAAAAGAACCCTCCAAAGTAGAACTTTAACTCTGCTGCTGTGCATATGCGCTGTGTAACATCTCCTGTTGAATGATCGGAATCCCAAATAGAATGCAGTCGTTAGAAACTAGAATCAGAGAAGCGAAATTAGGGCAAGTGATTTGTAAGAGACTAGAATCATACCGTTGGTTCTTAGAATGCAAGCAGTCAAGAAGTCCAAATTAGAAGAATAGTTGAAAGCTCGATTCCACTCAACCTCTCTGTTAACAACATAAAAAGTAGACAATCGAATCAAATTCACCCAATGAAAATGTTGATTTGACTTTTCATTCAAATAGAGCTCTACTTTAACTTTCTAAATTCAATTGCAGATCGACTGTCAAGTTTGTTGCAAATCGAAAATCAAAATGATTTTGTATAGTTGAAAATTTTCCGTGTTCGATATCTAGAAAACTACATCGTCGCTACAGTTTTTGTTTCCCTTTTCCCAAAAACTGAACAAAGAGTTTAGTCAACTATCCGTTTTACCAAATAATTCAAATCTCTTACGCTTGCTCCAATTCAATTACATCTTTTAGCATTATGCTACAGATTCTATGCAAATGAACACAGCTTGCTTACCGATCCTTAACGCAGAAGGAGGATCGATTTCCAACATCGCTATTAAGAATTGTAGAGGTGGCGTTGGAGAGACTGCTATATACTGCCTGGGTAATGAACGGGAGGAACGCAGTGTCGTTGATCTGACCGGCGAATTCGTCGCCAACCACTTGACACTGTACGAATTCCGGGAAAAGCAGCAGAGCAACAATAGCTACGGCGGCGGCTAAAAGTTTCCATCCGGTCATTCTCCGGCAAGAAGCAGCAGCTGCGTGCTTGAACGTGCATAGGGGAACAAGATTTCAGGTCGAAATAGTTAGAAATAGAAAGAGTATTAATAATTTATCTGGGATTCGGACCACGTCCCAACTTGCCGGCTTTGACATGGATCTCTTTGGAGTTTTGACAAATCTGTGTAGTAGTATCGTGTGTATCCTTGAGTCCTTGACCTTCACCCACCAGTTTTCAGCATTTCAAGTTTTGAACATACAAATCGGAGTAAAATACGGTTTCGATCCCTTTGGTTTGGCCAAAATCTCATATTTCGTCCTAGTATTGATGACTTTTTGTCATGGATGGTCCATGTGGACGGTTTTGGTAACAGCGGTGATCCTTAGATCGGTTACCCTTAGTTAAGCTTTGTTACTAATAGTAGAAAAAGACTTTGTTGCCCTCAGAATAAACTTGCTCAGAATAAACTTGATAAAAGTTATAAATTACAAGGACCATAACTATAAATATAAACTCTGGTTCTTCTATCGTCCGCAAACGCTTCCTCATCTGCTTCTTTGCCTGGAATCACTACTCCTGACCCTCAACTTGTGGCTAGGTTTGCTAGCCCTTGCATTTCAGCAGTTGGAATCTTCATCGCCAACAATGGTTGAGGAAACCATTTCTTTGCCCGTTTTTGACAATTTGATTGTGTAACTCCTTGTTCGGTTTTAAAGCGGCTAAAACAACACAAGTTGGTAAGGTACTAGAGAGTGTGATTGGATTCGATTTCATTTTTTGGTTAATCAACCATCTAAACATCTCTGATGTATCAAAGTTCAACTCGTTAAGCAAATAACCAGAGATATTAAGATGATGCATATCATAATGTTGATATGACCATTTCGCCACCTCCAATTACTAAATTGGAATTTTCTAACCCTAGTAAGTGTTTTCAAAATGTCATTTAATGGTATCATTCAAATGGGTGTTTGAATTCATACAATGATTTCTTTCTTATAACATAATTAAACTTAATTGAGATTTTGGAATTTGAATTATGTAATCAGGGTTTTGTATGTGTAACTTTGTTTCTTCAAATTAGTGTAGATGATCATCTAAAAGATGTGAAAACAACAAATATTGGGCACAAGCAGTAGAGAATTCATCAAATCCCATAAAGAATGATAAATTCAAGAAATTGGTGCTCCTTTGTCTGTGAATGGTTTAGTGTAATTCTCGATCATATCATGGTGGTGGTGATTGGTGATAGTGATGATTAGTAGTGCTCGTGGTAGTTGGAAATGGCAATAATTATGGGGTTGTTGGTGATTGGAGATGGTAATGGTGGTGAGGTAATGGTGATTGGAGACGATAATGGTGGTGATTGGAGATATTTAATGGTGATGAGGCTAGCGGTGATTAAAAATGGTAATAGTGGTAAGGGCTCGCAAATATTTAGAGATGAGCATAGGCAGGTATCCGTTCTAATTATCTGGAACCGGAACCGACGATTATTGTGATATTAGAACCGGAACTGAAACCGGCGGAATCGGTTCCGGTACTGGGTAACCGGTTGTTTTAAGCCTTTTTAGTTTTTTTTTTTTTTTTTTTTTCATTTGAAAAATATGCATGTCTATTAAGAAGCTTTAAACAAAAATAAGAATGTTGATAATTTCTCTATAATTAATATTGGTATTCTCAAAATGTTTAGCAAAATACAAATAAAAAACGAATAGCAACTGGAAAATTTGTCATTTCCGTTTAATAAAATTAAATATATCTACTGGACATACTTGATATATATATATATATATATATATATATATATATATATATATATATATATATATATATATATGCACACACACACTCTTATTTATCAGTTCTGGCGGTTATCGAACGACTAGCGGTTCCAAAAAAAATGAGAACCAAAACCAGAACCACTTAAGACGGTTCCGGAACTAGCAGTTCCGATGCGATTCCAGTTTTAAAAGCGGATAACCAGTTCCGATGATCATCCCTACAAATATGTATCATAAAAAAACAGCCAACATTTTACCAATCTAACCAAAAATGTTGGTAACCAATATGTTTGGTAGTCAATATATTTGGATGTTAGTATTATACCAATTGAGTTTTAATATTAGCATTTAATGTATTAATAAAATTTAAAGTTTAAACTCATGATGGCATTTCGTATTTTCTTCCACTATTTTAACTTTTAAACTAATGGCACATTAATAAAATCTCTTAAAATCTCTTTGGATTGAATTACCAACAATTGCAAAACTCTTAATAATAAAAACCTTATTCAAATTTCATAATGGTGAAAATAAAACTCCCATATATGTTTGTATTTAGCATTACCAACATCTATCAATCGATTTTATTGGTAGTCAAATAACTTGGTATCAATTATAGTTGGTACGGTAGTGGAAGAAATTTTTTTATACTAACTATAATTGGTATGGTACATAGGTTAAAAAAATGATTTGTATCATACCAATTACACCCATAAATGGTGGTGATGGTGGGGTGGTGATTGAAGATTGTAATTATGGTAGCAATAGTGGGTTGGTAGTGGTAGTTGTTTGTGATGATGGCGGGAGCGATTTTACTATGGTGTCTGCAGTAGCACCAACAATGTCTGGTTTTTCCAGAAACAGTGCAAAAAAAATCGATTTTTTTCTACTATAATGATACTATTAAAATTTCACATGACACTTATTTTATGAAATCTTGCTTAGGTGCATAGATGATGGTGATAACAAGAAAGTGGTAATGATGGTGGTGGGTTGGGGTTATGGTTACGATCGTGGTATTGGACTATTGGTCGATATGGTGGTTGTAATTAGTACTAATAGTCATTAGTTCTAATTAGTTAATAATAAATTATAAGGGCAAATTAGTTATATTCTGAAAATTAAGAGCTAGGTTGTTAATGATAATATTCCTAGAGGCCAAATATGTTAACACAAAAAAACCAATACTAAAACCAAAAGTATGGTTTTGGCCAAACCACATGTACCAAATCTGTAATTTACTCTAAAAACCGATAAAGTTAGAACCTTAAGCTAAACATATTTTTTTCAAACGTTTGTAAAATATCGGTTTAGATATTTTTTTATATTATGAAAGTAAATTAATCATGAAAGTATCATAATTTGGTCATGTCACGCGTTTATTATAATTTATGCTCAAATTTTAATTTTTATTATTAATTTGGTTCAAATTTGTGTTATAGATTTGCATCATCTATTTTTATAATTTTATAGTGTTTTGTTTTTAAATTATTTTTAATAACATTTTTACATATTAGTTAATATAGATTTGTTTTATGAAATAATTCTTCATAAAATTGCTGTTTTTTTACAAAGTATTTTTATAACTTATTATTATTATTTTTATTTTTAAAATTTATGAAAAAAAAACTTTTACATGTTTTCACAATCTTAAATTCATAAAAGAAATTATAGAAATTTTTTTTAATATATTTATAAAAACAAGAAAATATTACAAAAACATACATAGTTCAGAATATGTAAAAGAGTAATGTTTACATGTTTTCTTTACAACCTTAAATGCACAAATATGATTATTTTAAAAAAAAAGTTAGAAAAAAAAATCATAAAGTGAAAACTAGTTAAATTATTATAACTGGTTTAGAGTTAAAATATAAGATTTTTAATCCAACAAGTAGAAAGAAGATTATGATTCTAAGTCAGGATAGTTGACCTAGTCAATGTTAGGTACATGCGGTAATACATGTGGAAAAAATATTATAAAATGTAAGATTATAATAAAGATGGCTTTGAATATAATGTATTACACACTTTAGCAATGATATGGGAGTCGCAATGCGAATGCATGTGGAAGCATATACATTGAACTACATATGATATATATATGGCTATGTGAATGTGAGGTATTGAAGCGATCCAGCAAGGCTATATAGAGTGTGGTTGGAGTATGATTGTTCATTTTCAGTACTAACTTTTCATTTGTATCGATGAGAGTAGGAGCAGGTTTTCAATATGACATCCAATACTTCCATAATATGTTTCTTTTAACATAAAAAACAATACACTTCATGGTAGAAAATAGTGACATCGAAAAAATATCTGAGAGGCCCAAGATCCTTCATTTGCATATTCATGTGCAAGTTTAACCATGATTTTAATATGAAAGTGATATGTTGATGCTTAATACGCACATGAGTTAAGGGGGTATATGCTTATGTATTGGTAATTACTCCATTAATAAAATAACAAAGAATAAATAAAAATTTGATTTATTTTGAAAAAAATAGTTTTAGAAGGAAAAAAGAAAAATGACAAAATATAGTCTTTTATTAAATAAACTCAATAGGGTTTCCCAAAATGACTTCAATGAAATAATCATAAATAGATGAAAATTAAGTTTATATATAAAAAAAATAAGTATAAAACAGAAAAAGTTATATAAAACATAAATTGTTTATTGAATAAACTCGATGGGATAATCTAAGATAAGAAAAGTTAAGAAACTATAAATTGAAAGGGGTAATTACTAATCTAGCCAAATTAAGGAAGTGATTATCAATTTTTAGCCAAAAATTAGTAAATCTCCAAATATAGCCCACGAAACCGTAGGTTTCTAAAATCGTCTACTGTTTCGCCATATTGTCTACTGTTTCGTGTTTTGTATAAAATCATTTGAAAGCTACAAAATCGTAGATTTTGGGAAACCTACAGTTTCCTCTCAGTTAAGCTACGGTATCCCAAACCGTAGCCTACGATTTTGGGGGGAAAATACGTTTTTTTTGTTTTTTTTTTTTTTTTTTTTTTCGTCTACTGTTTTTGGAGTTTCGTCTACTGTTTTGTGAAAAAAAACCTACGATTTTATTTATTTTTTATTTTTTTTATACGAAACCGTAAGTGTATAGGTCGATACTGCACAAATCTGTGCATTGGGCACTTGTACACCTTAGTTTTCGTATGAAACCTACGGTTTTATATATTTTTTTCGATTTTTTTCAAAAAAAAAAAATTAACCACATATATAAAACCTACTACTAATCACAAACACGGTAAAATTTTGATGAAAAGTAGACAAATTTGGTTGTTCTCCGGGTGTTCAATTGAGAGAAAAAAGTAGTCAAACCAAAAAAAAACAATAGGAAAAATGATCTAATCTGATTTTTTTTTTCATTTTATACTTTAGGCTAATGGGTCACGAAAAAATAAACAGGCACGTGAAACTGTAGCTCATTAGCACAAAACAATAGTTTAGGGCAAAGAATAGTAGTCAACGACGTTGACCGTAGTCAACCAAAAGTTGACTACGGTTTTAAGGGTTATTTTTGGCTAAGTATTATTTTTTGTCTATTTTTTATAAGTAATTAACAAAAATGGCTAGATTTTTATTTTTCCTTAAATTTATTATGAAGAAAATTGATGAATAGACTTTTTATTTGCATTTTGATCTTTCGTTTGACCAAATATCTATGATTTGATTTGATTTTTATATATCCGAGAGAATTTGATTTTTTCAATGGTCAAAGTTATTGAATTTCTTTTTAAAAGGTTAGTCTCGATTTTGTTTTAAATAAAAATACACACAAAAAAAAAAAAAAAAAAAAAATTGTTTAAGGACTCTAAACATAAAAATAAAATAATTGCAAAAATATTTTTAAGTTAACGTATATGTATAAAAGTATTGAACAAATAATAAATAAATTTTGTTAGATATTGGTTTCACATTGAATATGTGAAACTTACGACGAATAGGAATGAATACACTAAAATATCTAATATTAAAGTCAATTGTCAAATGCCAAAATAATGTTCTTATGTCCCTTTGTTATTCTTGTTGCATCTGAAAATCTGTGTTAGCGTGTAAGCTTCAAGAAAATCTCATATTAGGCCATCCGTAATGCTCTTCACGATCAAGGGTCGTGGAGAGCTTTCAAATTAGCCACCATGAGCAACCACAAACCTCCTAAACAACCGGGAAACTCTCCACGACCACGAAGAGAAAGAAAGAAGAGATGACGAATAAGAAGAAATCTGAGAGAGGAAAAGATAATGATTGGGCGTTCTCCTTCATCTTTCCCACCACGTCTGACAACAACGGCGAAGGATAACGGTGTATAGGGGTGGCGTGTACGAACCACTCTCGTTGTCACGTCAACCACGAAACCACTCGAGTTCAGTATATCGGTAGGCGGCAATCATTGTACTTTGTACAACTTTCAATAATTAGACAAAACTGTGAATTTGGTCCTTGTGGTTTGCCAAAACCTTTGGATGGGGTCCAAATAGTTTCCAGCTTGCACCAAAGGTCCAAAATCAAGGTTTTCTTGGGTTTTTAGTCCATTCCGTCATTGACCGTTTGTTTGGGGCCGTTAGTGCCTACACGTGCCCTCCATGTGAGGGCATTTTGGTCATTTTAGGTCAGCCTCCGTTGCCGCCACTTCAATTAATAAGAGTTCAGACTGTACTCACTCCTTCGTCTTCTACTCATTCCTCACTCCTTCGTCTTCTACTCATACCTCTTGATTCAAACGCAAAAACCCTAACGATCATCTGAAACTTTGAAAATGTGGGGACTTAGAAATGTTGGAGAGATTGTCAACGTTCAAGAAGTTTATGGTAGATTCAAACTTAGAAAAACTCTGTATTTTATGATCAAGCTTCAAACTTTGAAAAACTCTAACTAATAATCGTCTCTTTCTGTTTTGAAGATGGTTACCCCAACATATTCTCTATTGAACTTCATCACGGAGGGAGTTTCACAAAGTTTCCAAATATCAGGTATATTAATGGCCAAGTAAGGTACTTTGATGTTGTCGACATTGATGAATTTTCTGTTCATGAACTAGACTCGATGATGAGAGAATTAGGGTATGATGGTACTGAAATCATGTATTACCATTTCCGTTTGCCTAATGAAGGATTTGACTTTGGACTCCGAGCATTAGGTAACGATGATGATGTGCGTAATCTCTCACGATATGTTACCCATAATAACAAAATGATTAAAGTGTACACAGAGCATGGTCAAACGAACTTGCTTACATATTTTATGTCCCCAACTGGTCCAAAAAGGGTTATAATAGAAGACATGGAGAAGCAGGATTGCATTAGACCCTCATCACCTGTAGTTGCTCATGAAGTGGTAACTCCAATCCAAATTGATGTTGGTGAGGGTGATTTAGGGTTAGCATTAACCTTATACAAATCAGCAACACCTGAATTTAGTAGGTCTAAAGGTTGGAAACATAGTAAAGGGGCATCGTCTTGTAGTAGAATGCTTAAATTGGATTGGGAAGGTGCTGAAAAAACAATGGCAAGTGGTGAAGTTGATAAGGGTAAGGGTGTAGAAGGATTTGTAGATGAATTTGTTGTAGTTGATGCAGAAAAAGAGTTAAACAAAGAGATTGATGTGAATGAAGAACTTGATGTGAACAAATCCAATGGTGAGGGTGTAGAAGGATTTGCAGATGAGGGGTATAGAGTTGTCATGGATAATGATCCTCAAGGAGTCAATGAATTTTCAACTAACATCAACATAGATGATGAGTTAATGACAAACTTTCAACCTTTTGAAGGGTTTGAAGACGAAGATAGCATCCCATTTAATGGGTTTGAAGGCCAAGATAATATTCCTTTCAATGATGAGTGCAGACAAGAGGAGCCTGATGACATTGAGTTTGAGAATCAAAACAGTGAAGATGAAGATAGTGACTTTATGATTGATGAGGACAACATAATTGAAGATGTTGACGTTGACATGGAGGATTTCAATCTAAATATTGATATAGAAGCAGAGTTCAATGGATGTCAAAGAATGGGTGGTCAAAGAAATGAAGATAGTGTTGAAGAAGATGATTTGGAGGTAATTGACAATGACGAGTGGGATTCACTAAGTGATGACTCAGGGGACAACAGGAAAAGAAGAGAAATGATCAAAGAGCTGGGGAAACAAACCTTATGTTCTGCTGGTGAGGTGCACAAGGTAGCTTTTCATATTGGGCAGAAATATAAAGCCAAGAAAGAATTGAAAGATAAAATTGACCTGCATGCTTTAGAGACAAGGAGGAATATCTCATTCACAAAAAACGACAAGAGTAGATTAACAGCTGTTTGTGATGGAACTGTAGTTTTAAATGCAAGTGGGGTAGGTGGACCTACCTCTGGGAAAAAGGTAAAGGGTAAAGATGTAAACTCAGATAAAGTTAAATGCACATGGAAACTTCATGCATCTAGGTCAAGTGAACAGGACTATTGGTTTATTAAGACGTATAATCAGAAACACATCTGCCTCCAAACACGAAAAATCAGATCTTGCACAGCAACATTTCTTTCCAAACGTATTATGGATCAGATTGAAGCTAATCCTGGACTGCCTGTTCGTGCCCTACAAGAGCAACTCCAATCAACTTATGGAGTTAGTATTTCAGAAGAGAAAGCATTTAGGGCAAAAGCATTAGCCACCAAAAATGTTGCAGGGGATTACGTAAAGCAATATGCAGCTTTGAGAGACTATGTACTAGAGCTACAAAAGACAAATGAAGGTACAACTGTAAAGATTGATGTGGTTTCAGAACCTGTGGTTTCATCCCCAACCAGGCAATTCAGAAGGATATACGTGTGTTTAGGTCCTTTGAAGAAAGGTTTTAAGGCAGGTTTGAGAGAATTTTTAGGTTTAGATGGAGCCTTCATGAAGGGACCTTTCCCAGGTCAAATACTAAGTGCAGTTGGTGTTGATTCCAACAATGGAACCTACCCATTGGCATATGCTGTTGCTGAAAGTGAAAACACTTCAAGTTGGAAATGGTTTCTTCAGTGTCTTGCAGAAGATCTTGACTTGTATTCAAATTCCAACTTCACCTTTATCAGTGATAGACAGAAGGTACTATAGTTACATTTAATATTGCATACTAGTTTCATTACAAACTAATGATAATTTCTTATTTTGTTTTGGTGACAACAGGGTCTTCTACCAGCCATAGAACAATTGTTCCCTAATGCAGAACACAGGTTCTGTATTAGACACATATACCAGAACATGAGGATGTTATTTAAGACTACAGAGTACAAGGAGTATTTTTGGAGGTGTGCTACAGCCACCACCATACCAGAGTTTGAAGCTGTAATGGTAGAGCTAAGGAATTATGACATAGAAGCATATCAATGGCTCTTGAAAATCCCTCCACATCATTGGGCTAGAAGTCATTTTTCTGGTATTTTCTCAATTTGTTGTCTTATTTTTTATTGTAGTATAGATATACACTAACTGTTGTTTTGTTAATGAACTATTAGGAAGGGCAATTTCAGACATGTTATTGAATAACCTTTGTGAAGTGTTCAATAGCAAACTTGTAAAAGGGAGAGACAAACCCATTATCAGTTGTTTGGAGTTCATCAGAGAGTACCTTATGAAGAGAGTATGCAATGTGATGAAGGTGTTAAACAAGTGTCAAGGTCCATTAACTCCAACTGGTACTAGGATTTTGGAAGCAAACACAACACTAGCTAGTAAGTATCATGCACGATGGAATGGGGGACAAAAGTATCAGGTTAAAGGTCCATGGAATGATCAACATGTGGTGGACATGGAGAAAAGGGAGTGTAGTTGTAGAAAGTGGGAGCTTACTGGAATTCCTTGCAAACATGCTATTGCAAGCCTAAATGAAATGGCAGACAACAATGAAAAGGTAGGAGAACTATACACCTATGTGCATAAGGTGTATTGGCTTGATACATGGAAAGAGATGTACTCCTTCAAGGTGGAGCCTATCAAAGGTAGAGCCATGTGGCCTAAGAGTGACTGCCCAACAACTCTTGTGCCTCCACCACACAACAAAGCTATAGGCAGGCCAAAAAAGAAAAGAAGGATTACAGCAGAGGAAAGGATTGAAATCCAGCAACGTAAGAGGCAAGCAAACAGTCAAAGTCAAAATGATAATGAAACTCAATCACTGAGCAGGAAGTTTTTGACTGTTACATGTAGTAAGTGTAAGCAAAAGGGTCACAATGCCAGGACCTGCAAGGCCAAAGATGGGAATTGATGTTTAAGTACTTTTTATGTTTGTCAAGACTTGTTAATGCACTTTAGTTGGTACTTTGTTGCCTTTTTTTTGCTCCATTTTGATAATGTACTTTGATGCCCTTTTGATAATGTACTTTAATGCCCTTTGTTGGTAATGATTGTGTTTTGGCATTTATCTGTTATGGTCCCCTTTTGGTAATGTTGTTTGTTATTTGTTTATGTTGTACTGTCAAAGCATGAAGATGTTATGGCAATGTACTTAATGTATGCATATAAAACCATTACAATTGCATATTCAAACGTAGAGAAAAACCATTACACTTGCATATCATGTCAAGATCAAACCTTTATAATTTCATATTCATAAAAGGATAAAACCATTACACTTCCCATTGTCATAAAAGCATTACATATACAATGATCCAAAAGATAACACTTTTAAGTGGTTACTACCAACAAAAACATATATAAACCACAATTAAACCTTCTAGCACCAAAAGACAACATTTTTAAGTGGTTACTACCAACAAAAAAGTCCTAACCTCTAATTCCTATTTCCAAAACAGCACAAACAACAGAAACAAAATCCACGAGACAAGCAAACACATCTTCAGCTTGCCTACTTCAACCTCATACCTATTCATTGTTCTCAACAGTCCTGGTATGATAACAGTTGATCTTTGACACATAGGGGGATCGAACCACCCCAAAAATGCACATCTGGATCCCTACAAGAATACATTAAAGTAGAAGAGTTATTGCTTAACTACCGACTTCTCTGTAACCTAATATCAGTTTGCTAACCATTTTAGGGCATGCATAGAAACGACGACCAGGGTTTCGTGAAGTCCATGAGGTTCGCACAACAGCAACATTCCCACAGAAGCAGAGCACCATTTTTGAATCTCGTAGCAGTAGAAGTAGACGAGAGATGAAGAAGAAGAGACGAAGTAGAAGAGGAAGAGGATTCTTCTCTGTAAATAAAAATGAAGAAGAGGAAGAGGATTGCGTATATGTATATAAGGGAGAAATATGATATTATTAAAAAGCTGACCTAAAATGACCAAAATGCCCTCACATGGAGGGCACGTGTAGGCACTAACGGCCCCAAATAAACGGTCAATGACGGAATGGACTAAAAACCCAAGAAAACCTTGATTTTGGACCTTTGGTGCAAGCTGGAAACTATTTGGACCCCATCCAAAGGTTTTGGCAAACCACAAGGACCAAATTCGCAGTTTTGTCCAATAATTATTCCAAAGTCCAATATTAAAGCTTTTTATATTTTATATAAGGGAACTATGGTTAATTCTTTTTGATATTGACGTTAGTTATTACCGGTAAGACCATCATTTGTTTCTTTTTTATCCTCACAAAATGTGTTGTTTGGTTTAGATTCTCAAATAATGACATTGGTTTCTTCTTCTTTCTTTGTTTTTTTATTATTATTATTTTATTGATTTAGCAACTTATATTTTTTTTATTATTATTTTATTCTATTGATAACGTTATTAACATAAAAAAAAAAATTTCATTCTAACATAATATAGTTTGATGTATATTCTATACCATTGTTCTTTTCATTGTTTTAAAATCGATAAGAATGATTACACGTAGAAAATTCTCTAAAATCAATCATATATTTTGGGTAATAATGATAAGAATGAACACTCAATATCCATTTACTAATATTGTGTATGTATGATTAAATCATTTTGAAAGAATACACAAATATTCTTTAAGAATAAACTTTTAATAATCCAATTTTTTAAATTACGAAAATTAGTTATTCGTAAAATTCAAATTTTTTATTTTTTAAATCTAATTTGATTGACTAAAATACATTACAATAAGACTTATATTATTATAGGGTAAATGGTATATCAGCCCATCGAACTTGTCGTGTTTGTTTTAAAATGTCATCCAACATTTTTTTTTTTGTAAATTAAGGGAATGCACTTTCGTTTTGCTGTTTTAAAATATATTTATGTTGTCTGATATCGGGTAAGACTGAAAAATGTGTGTCTTGACCACTATTTGACCATCAACTGCACATCCACCTCCATTGAAGTATATTAACTATATACACCCTTCTTGATCAGGTCAACTAGTTCTTTTCATTTTCAGATCAATCAAATGAAAAAACTTGATGATTGATCATATGACTCTGTACACTGAAAAAGAAGAACAAATCAAAGAAGGCAAAGCGGAAAGGAGATAGAGAGAAATTATCTCTGAGGCGATTGGTAATTTTTCTTTTTTCCGTTTCCTTCTATTTTACTAAAGAAAATTGATTTTGAAGGAAAACAGAATGTATAAATCGGTGGTAGCTATTTATGATGGTGAAAAAGTCATCCGCGATGTTGGGTTTATTTTAATCCTCGTATGATGAATTTGAATATGAGAGAGAAACTCAAGAACAAAATCAGGATTTCGTGCAATTTGACACTAAGTAAGAGGTGCTTGCCACTTGCTATTCTTCACATAATTACTTCACCAACAACTGGGGGTTGCATGAAAATGGAGTGCAACAAAACCATCAACTAGAACTCACAGCTCAATTTGTTGCACTCTACATGTCTTAGGGAGAACAAGATATATATACCAAACCTCAAAATAAACAGATTCACTAAAAAAAGATAAAAACAACAATCTAATGAAATTGTAAAATTGTAATCAGAGTTTAAACTCAAACCCTAATTTGAGCTGCAAACTTTTTATTACGAGGACTATGTTGGACAAAGATAAGACCCTTAAAGGAAACCCAATAATTGGAACTTTGAACGCTTTTACATTCTACTTTTTAACTACATATTGAACCTGATGAACAAATCACAAAGTAATATTAGGTTGGGCATTTTCTGAAGATTGTTCTTTGGTTTAAGAGTGTTATCCCTTTCCTTCTACTTTGTAACCTGCAATGAGGACACGCATAACTGTAGAGAAAAGGTTGGAGGAGATGAGGCTACAATGAGATTAAAACTTGTTATTATGGGTTAAGTGACTTTTTTAACAGGTTAAACGAGAGTTCATTGCCTTAATATACAAAAAAAAGTTAGGTGACCTTTTAAAACAAACACGACAAGTTCGATGGGCTAATATGATATTTTTCCATTATTATATGGTGCATGTTATTCCATTTTAATAACATATAACCAAAAAACTTAAATATTCATTTTATCGTCTATCTGTTCAAAAAATTTCTACAATCACACAATAAATCTTATTTTATTATTATTATTATTATATGTATGTATATATATATATATATACACACATATATATTGTAACGCCCCGACTCCCAGGTATTGATTTTACAGCTTTATTTTCATTTTGGAAGGTCTACTCGACGAGTTGATGCCCTGACTCATCGAGTAGGAACTTTTGGGGCCACATGTTTTAAGTGACCAACCCGCCGAGTCGGGGATATGACTCAACGAGTTGGAGCTGGAGGATGAAACCCTAATTTCCAGGGTTTTGCACCCTATTTAAAAGGATCATTAGCCTCCCTTACAGCCCCTTGTGAGTCCAGAAACCCTAAATCACCGTTTTCCCTCTCTTTGTGTGATATTAAGCTTATGGTGGATTGTGGAAGGAAGATCTTGAAGTACTCAAGCTTGGAACAAGAAGAAGGATTTATATCCGAGTTCTTCTTCATCTTAGCATCGTTTTTGAGGTAACAAGTTGATACCTTGACCTTCTTCTATCAAGATCTATGCATGTATGAGATTAGGGTCACTTTGGCCATGTTAACATGTTATTATTAGTATTAGCCATGATCTAAAGTTGCAACTTTAGATATAGGCTTATCTTGGCTTGTAAGATCATAAAGTTCCAGCCTTTAGTGAAGTAATACCCTCTTCATCCCTTAGAACCTTTCTTTAGTTTGATTTGGGCCATTATCACCTTGCATGTACGTAAAGTTTGCAAATTTACGTGAGAAGTATGCCTTATGAGCTTAGATCTGCATTATGGAACTTTTAAGTGGCTTAAAAATCGTATGGATTGAGAAAGGACTTAAGGGACTCGACGAGTTGCATGGCCAACTCGGCGATTCCAATGAAGATTGTCATGCAAGGACTTATGCATGGACTCGAAGAGTCAATAGGGTGACTCAGCGAGTTAACTAGGGTTTTCCCGACATTTGGGCACGCATGAACTCTGTGAGTTTCAGGGAAACTCGACGAGTCAACTGGGGATTTCACGACTTCTCGAGTTTAGGAAGGACTCGATGAGTCGGTGAACTGCACTCGAAAAGTCGAGTCAACATGGATTGTTGACCTTAACTATTGACTTAGACTTTAACTAAGGGTTGACTAGTTGACCTCAGGGGTATTTTGGTAAATTGGAATTTATGGAAAATATCTTATGATTATAGGTGTTTGAGTTCGTGACCGTGGTTCAAGAGCTTGATTTATCGCTTTGATTCGACAGTTAAGAGGTGAGTTGTCCTCACTATAATAAGGGGTCGAAGGCACCAATACCAGCCCACTGGATATGTTATCCTAGTAGTTTATAGATAGTTGAGTGTGAGTTAGTGTTGCTTGCTAGTTGTTATGCCAGTTGGTAGATATGTACGATTGCATGTATTAGTATGTGAGTTGTATCTGCTTAGTTGTGTTATATGTCGACATATTATGTGGGTTAGGTTGAGGTTATACTGCTCCGTGCGGTAGCTAACAAACCCTAGAGTATTTCAGATATGAGCTGAGGGTCGAGCAGGGCATGCCAGACTCATACTGAGGACTCAGGTGCATTCTAGATACGAGACGAGGGTCGGGTAGGTCATGCCAGACTCGTACTATGGGCTCGAGAGCATTCCAAATACGAGCTGAGGGCCGGGCGGGGCATACCAGACTCGTACTGTAGGCTCGGTGGCAATCCAGATGTGAGATGTGGGCACGGAAGGCAATCCAGACTCATACTATGGGCCCATGGGTAATCCAGTATGTAAAGCTGTGGACCCAGTACATACTGTTATTTGTATATGTGTTATGTGCAGTGTATCGATATTTTGGG